GGCTCGGGCATTGGCCTTGAGATCGCCCGCCAGCTCGGCCGGTTTGGCGCCAAGGTCGTCCTCATGGGACGCCGTGCACCGGTACTCGAAGCGGCGGTGGCCTCGCTGACGGCCGATGGCGTCACGGCAACGTATGTTGCCGGTGACGTGCGCAAGCCGGAGGATGCGAGCGCGGCCGTCGCCATGGCCGTCTCGACGTACGGCACCTTGAACGTCTTGGTCAACTGCGCCGCGGGCAACTTTCTCAGCACGGCGCAAGACCTCTCGACGAACGCATTCCGCACCGTCCTCGACATTGACACGGTCGGCACGTTCAACATGAGCCGCGCGGCCTTTCCGCATCTGAAAGGAGACGGGGTTGTGCTCAACATTAGCGCCAATTTGCATCTGTACGCAACGTGGTACCAGGTGCATGCGTCGGCGGCCAAGGCGGCCGTCGACTCGATCACGCGGTCGCTTGCGCTCGAGTGGGGTCGCTACAACATCCGCGTCGTGGGCATCGCGCCCGGGCCGATCGCCGACACGCCGGGCATGAACAAGCTCGCAGGCGATGCAGCCGAAGACATGATCAAGGAAGTGACCGCGCTGCGCCGCATGGGCACCAAGCTCGAGATCGCCCACCTCGCGGTCTTCCTTGTCTCGAGTGGCGGTGCCAACATCACGGGCCACACGATCGTCTCGGACGGCGGCCAGCACATTTACCGGGAGCCAGGCATGCCCGCCGAGATGGTGACCGAGTGGAGCCGTCGCCGGGAGGCACAGGTGAAGAGCAAGCTCTGAGCTCCAAGCTCTAAGCTCTAAGCTCTAAGCTCTAAGCTCCAAGCTCCAAGCTCTAAGCGTTAAATTTAGCTTCATCTTTCGAGAGTTTCGTATATGACTGTCGCGCGCTGGGCGTCCCGGACGGCGCCAGAGCTCAGCGCAGCTGAGGCAATCCGTGTCGCAAACGAGCTCCTCTCTCAGTCCACGGAGACGACCTCGCGGCCGTCGGCCGTTCGCCCGTCGTCGGCGGTCAAGAAGCGCCTACCAGCAACGACGATGATGACGCCGGCGCCGTCGATCGAGCGATGGCTTCGCGCCGAGACGACAGTCGCGTCTATGGCCAGTGTCGGCGCCGCCCTCGCCCTCGAGATGACCGAGCTCGACGGCCTCCTTTCGAAACGCATTGCGCTGCCGTACTACGACGCCCACCTCATGGACGCCGACCTCCAGGCGCTGCATGCGGCGCTCGGCGCGCAGACCGACGCGTACTTGAGCGACTTGCACGACGGGTTCCGCCGCCTCCGCCGCCTCGTCCACACAACAGACAACTCGCTGCAATCACTCGCATTGAGCTCGGCGCGGTACCTGCCCCGGCACGAGATCCAGGCCGCGATCAAACCGGTCCTCGCTTCGGATACCGCGCTCTCATTCGATCGCATCGACCTCATGCTCGTGCACTGCGACGTCCGTGGCGATGGCAGCGTCGACATGCAGCGCTTTATGACGCTGCTCGAGGCGTCGCCGCCGCCCCGCGAACGCATCATGCAATTCGCTTTTTACCTGCTTTGGCCACGCGCGCTCGTGTCGAGCGGCCATGACGAGCGGCTGCGCATTTACAAGCTCGTCGCGCTCCTCAAGGAGAATCATGCACGCGACCCGGTGCCTGCATTTGAAATGACGTTGCAGTGGCTCCAGGCGTTTGACGGTACAACTTGCTTGTTGCGATGGATTTTTTGAGTTTGAGATTGGAATGTGGGAAATTGAGAATGGAGTTTGCACTTGTAGCGCCAGCGCTGACCTTGACCGACTGGATGTGCTTCCATCGGCTTCAGAGTGATAGCATGGACCACGATGCAGACTTTGTGCGCTTCCTCCGTACGTCTCCATGTTGGTTGGACGCTGGTGGATTTGCGAGTAGACGCGACGTGGCATGTCCTGGCGATGGAGCCCGTGCCCATGACGTGGCAGCGCGAGAGAGCCATGTGCGATACGCTCTTGCAACAGGCAGCGGAAGCGCGCACGGCGCAAAAGGCCCAGCAGCGACGAAGTGGCCTCGCCCACGAACTCCGCGACCTCGAGACGCGCGTGCGCGCGCTCTGTGTTCGTCTTCGCGAGGCTTGTCTCTCGCTCACCCGCGCCAGTGTGTCGGGCGCTGTCTTGGCCGCCGACATGAGCGCTGCCAAGATGGTGTTTGACCAGCTGCATCGCCTCGAGGCACTGCACATCACGCCGGTGCTGACGACGCTCCCGGACGCGGCAGCGCTCGCAGGTCTGATCGAATTGGACATTGCGCACCTGGGGCTCTGGCACTTGCCCGGCACAGAGCTCGTGCACTTGCGCATCTTGCGGGCGTCGCAGTACGGTAAAGTGTATTCGTGAGCAAGGGCATGAAAGCGTGCGTAGCAACCAGCTCCGCAAGGAGAGCCTCCCCAACGTGCGCGCGCTTTGGCCGCAGCTGCGCGTACGCACCAAGACGAGTTTGACGGTCGCTCACGACGCCATTTCTAGGAGCTGGACGTCTCCAACAATGCACTCACCGGTCTTCCCGAGGTAGACTCCTCTACATGGCTTTGGTGCTACCCTGGGATGAATGGACAGATATGTCAGTCCTGGACGCTCCTCGAAGCGTGCAATCTTTCGAGCAATCAACTCGTGACGCTGTCCGAGACCATTGTTGGGGAGTGGCGTCAGCTTCGCAGTTTGCAGCTCCACGACAACCGGCTCACTTCGCTGCCGAGCACACTGCGCCACTGCGAGGCCCTCACAACCCTCTTCTGCCACCGCAATGCACTCCACGCGCTGCCTGCGTGCGTGGCCGATCTGGACGCGCTTGCGGATACCACCTTTCACCACAACCAGATCACGTCTCACGGTACAAACCACCACGATATCGCATCTTAGCGCGTGCCGGGTAGGCATCGGACCGGCTGTGCCCGAGCGGCGCCATCTGCGGCAGCTGGCGCGGTGTACCTTGTCCTACAACAGCCTCGAGTCTCTGCCGTACGAGCTCCGGGACCTAACCCAGCTGCGGTCGCTCAGCCTCGGCCACAACCAGATACGCGACCTTGGATCCGCCGACTTTTCTGGCCTCGTTGTATGCACCGAGGTCGACTTGCGACACAACTGTCTAAGGGAGCTTCCGCCCTCGCTGTTTGCGATGCCGAAGCTGCAGCACCTTTTCGTGCACTCCAATATCCTGACCGACCTCCCTTCCAGTATCGGATTCGCGCCGGCACTGATTTCGGTCCATGCGCACACCAACCATTTATCCAGTGTACTATCCTATCCTATCCAAGTATACGACTCGAAATTCACGGGATAGGTGCCATCTGAATTGAGCAATGTGGCGACCTTAGCGCACTTGGACCTGTCGCGGAATCGACTACGCACCCTACCATTGGCGTGGACGGCGTTTCTAACGCATCGCCAGCCCGAAAGTTCACAGCTCGTGCTCGAGACGCTCAAGCTGGACGGTAGGAGACCGTCTTTGTTTCAACGTTGTATCAACTCTGTATCAACTCGTCTACACTAGACAACCCGTGGGAGAAAGCGCTGGAGGACATTGTCGTCCATGGAAGGTACACGTCGCCGAGCGCCCAGCAAATGACACTGGTGCGCTAGTTCAATGCCACAAACATATCGAATAAACAATGCCTAGACGCTTCTCAAGCTCGTCGACTACCTCCAAATCACAACTACGAAGCGCTCCAAAGTCGACTTTACCGTGTTCCAGAAGCAGCACAAGAACGACAAGAAGGTCTATCGCCTCCGCGTTCGGAAGGGCCAGGCCAAAGTGGCCACCGAATACCTCGAGTGGGCCTTCCGTGACCACCGCACGGCGTCTGGCGGTGTCTCAAACGCCCGCTTTCGCAGTATTTTGCTCGACCTCGGGTGTCCGTGGACCGCTCTCGAGTGGTCGCGGGTCCTCGACCGATTCCCACTGCAGCCAGAGCCAGGCGTTGACCTCGACCGCTTCTTGGACGCGGTCGAGCGAGTCCACGACGCGCCTTTCGAGGCTCCCAGCTTCCCCGAACAAGTCTGCATGTACCTCCAAGACGCGACCGCAGCATCTGAGAAGGCGGCCATCTCAAAACCGTCTGCGCCTCGTGCACCGACAAGTCCTGCACCGACGCAGGCGACGCTCGCTACCACGTCAGCAACGCCTGTCAAGGCACCAAGCACTCTCGCGCCGACGCCAGCAACCCCGACGCCGCCCGAGACAAAGCCCAAGACCAAGAACGCGTCGAGCACCGAAGCCCGACTGCGCCACCAAGTACTTCGACAGCGCGAGCGCATGGTGATCCTCCAGCAACAAATGCTCGACCAGAGAGCGCGACCGGTCGTCGACACGACAGCGGCGGCTCGGGGCGACCCGATCGCGACAGCTGACGATAACGCCAAGCGCCAAGGACTCACGCTACATTGCTTGGGCGAGACGAAGCGGACGAGTCTCGTCATGACGGCCTACGAGTTGTCATGGACAGTACGCGAGCTCAAGCAACAGATTGAGGGCGAGCACGACATTCCAACGTCATCGCAGGTGCGCGGTTGCATCCGCTCCTGTTGCTAGTGAATCCATGCGAGACTAGGTGCTGCTGGCCGTCTACCTCGACCGCCGTCTGCGTCTCGCCGATGCGGTCGTCCTGGCAACGGTCCTCCACGACACACCAACGCCGTCGCTGCAACTCCTCGTGGGCCCTCCAGTCCGCGCGATTTACGCACCCCGCGGCGACACCTAACCCCAATCCTAGACTCTCATCGAATGGTTGTTACTATTATATCGTTATGTACTCGGTCGGGTCCGACTCCATTGCATCGACTTGGCTTTTCAGAGCACGTAGATGGTCGTGGGCATGGCCCATGGCCTCTTCGAGCTGGTCGATGCGGGCGATCTGCTGGCCGAGCTTGTCAAGCATCGCGTTTTGCTGTTCGGCGAGCATCTGCTGTGTCTCGGAGATCTTGGAGAGAAGCGCCCAGAACGAATTCTGCTGCTCGGCGACCGCTGTCGACGACGTGGTTACGAGCTTGGGCTTGTGGCGCTCAAGGGACGCCGTGATCGACTCCGTCGGAGTCACTTTTTTGGTTGTCGGTGGCGACAGCTCGTCGACTTCGGGGATCGGCGATGGCTCTTGGGGCGCTGTCGCTTGCAGAAACGTGTCGGCCGATGCATTTGAATGGCGGCCCATGAACGACGAGAGGTTCCGCCGGAAGGACGACCCGCCCGACTCGATCGAGCACTCCTCGATCGCCGTGAGCCGGTTGCGCTCCCGCCGTCGATTCTCTTCGAGCATCTCCATCACGATCGACGAGAGGTGCACGAGCATGTCGACTGCTCGGGCGTCGACCGCATCGCGCGGCGACGTGTCAAGCACCATGATGGTGCCAATGACGTGGCCGTCCATCGTGACAATCGGCACTGACACATAAAACCGAATGTGCGCCGGGCCCGTCACGAGCGGGTTGGCAGCGAACCGCTTGTCGAGCGTGAGATCGCGGACCACCAGCGGCTTGGTAATACGATGCTCGATGAGGTGGCTGCAGAGCGCGAGTTCGCGCGGCAGCTGCGCGTGGGCAATGCCCATCGACGCCTTGTACCACTGCCGCATGGCGTCGACAAAGCCAATCGCGGCGACGCTGCAAGCAAACGTCTTGGCGGCCGCTTGGCACACAGCGTTGTACTCGGCCTCGACATGCGTGTCGAGGATCGCAAACGACGAGAGCGCGAGCAGCCGCGTCTCTTCGGCTTCCATATTGCCAAACGAGTAGCTGTTTGTGCTTTGGTGGCTCTGTGACAGTGGCAGCAGCGTCGGCGGCGCGGCCGAGTTGCGGTAGAATTGGACTTCGCCAATGCAGTCCATGCAGATGCGCACCGTGAGGATCGTCGCGTTCTTGATCGACGAGCTGCGCTGGCGCGAGAGGGACGGGCGCGGCAGGACGTCGCGGACGTGCCGGTGCAAGGAGCACTGGCTGCACACAACCTCGCCGCACGCGCGGCAGTGGTGCTTGCGGACAAACGTGTTGAAGCGGCGGATGCAGATGACGCACTGCGGCCGATCCTTGTCGGCGACCCACTCGTTCATGTGCTTGAGGTGGAACTCGAGCACATCGTCGGGAATCCGGCCGCGCTTGGACGACGACGATGCGAGCAGCATGGCGCGAGAGAGAGACTGGCGACGGTGTGGTAGAGGCCCATCAACTGCCAGCTGCTGTATCAGTGTCCTGCGACACCTGCAGCAGCTTTGGTGCATGTATTATTCAGCGACCAAGCAGGTCAGGGACGAGGGGCATCGTGTCATCATCTTCGTCGTATTTATAGCAGAAGAGAAGACCAACATGTAGTGTATTCCGAGTCATTTGGCCCTCATGCGTGAATCGCAGGACGGTCTTCTTCGGCGACGAGCCAGACGCTGTCGTCCTCTTGGTCGAGGCGCTGCGCGAGCGCGAGGATCGAGCCGGTCTCGAGAAGGTACGACACGAGGCGGTCGTTGGCGTCGACCATGTCGTCGAGGTGCCGCGTCGACGTCGTCTTGTGCTTGCCCGGGCGCAGCGGCCGCACCTCGCGCTGCTGCTCTTGCTGCTGCTGCTCGTGGTCGAGCTCGTCGTCGTCGTCATCGTCGTCGTCGTCGTCGTCATCGTCGCTCGAGGATTCGTCCGACGACTTGCTCGTGCTCGGCCGCAGCGTCGGCGACGTCCCCGACGATGGCTTTTGCTGCTGGCGGAGCGCGGCCTTGCGCTCTTTCGTGCGCTGGCGCTTCTTTTGCCGCTTGTTGCGCTTGGACGCTTGCTTGGCCTGCTTCTCGGTCGTCTCCTTCTCCGTCTCCTCCTTCCAGAGACTCTCTTGGTACTTGAGGTGGAAGATCGTGCAGTCGCAGTTCTTGCACACGTTGCACTTGCACTCGGCGCAAAAGAATGTGTCGTTCGAGTGTTTCGAGAAGGCGCCCATGCAGATCGCGCACGTCACAAAGTGCTGCTGCCATATCCGCGTCGCTCTAATGCGTCGTGGGTCCTTGATACCTTGATACAAAGTACATACCGCTTCGCGACCGTCGCCGACTTGTGGGACACGAGGGTTTCAATGTTGGCCGATGCCATCAAGCCAGCGTACGGGTTGGGCGCGTCGAGTCGCTTGGCCTCGAGCTCGCCCACTTGCAGTATACGCTCGAGGCCTTCCAGCGCCATCATGACCATGCTCGTCTCTTCCAGTAGGTTGCCTAAGATCTGGATGCAGCCTTCGTTGACCAAGTATTCAATCTACATAGAAATAGAAGCGGTGAGATCCCAGCATATTGGCGTCAAAAGGACCGACTTGACTATCGGAGCCGCACGACGTCGCGTTGAGGACGACCCAGCACGCTTCGGAGCGCACCTCCGTGTCGGTGGCGTCCGACGACGCGAGGTTCATGAGCGACGGGATGCAGCCAGAGTCGAGCACGCATTGAATCTGGTCGACCGTGCCCGCGGCAATGTTGGAGAGCGTCCAGCACGCCTCCTTTTGGATCTCGCGGTTCGAATGCGCAATGAGCTTGCGCAGCGATGGCACCGCGCCACACTCGATGATATGCTACACGACATGTCAACCGGTTGCGAGGTATGCAGCGTCGACGCTACCTGGGTGTAGTCGTGGTCGTCCTCGGCGCAGACAATGTTGCCAATGGCACGCAGCGCAGGCTTGGTCACGCGCCACGAGTTGTGGCTGAGCAGCTCCACGAGGCGCAAGCACACTTCCGAGTCGACGACGGCCTGGATGTGCGTGCTCGGGCCGTCGCAGAGGTGTGAGAAGGCCCAGCACACGTGGCTCAGCACTTCCGTGTCCGAGCTCGCCAGCATCTACGTTGCTTGCATTCAAAAATGGAAACGCAACGCGGTGCTGGTACCTTGCCGAGCGACGGAAGGACCAAGTTGATGTCAAAAACTGGTCGCGGCTGGCCGTCACAGAGGTTGCTCAGCGTCCACGTGAGGATACGCAGGAGCGAGAGCTTCTCGGGCGGCGCTTTCTTGAGGCTGTTGACGAGGGGCGGCAGCGCGCCCGCCGAGAGCACCGAGTCGCGCGTGTGCGAGCCTTCGCCAGCCAAGTTGCCCAGCACCCAGACAGACTGCTCGAGGACCTGCAACAATGCCATGTTGAACCAAGGGCGACTGCAACATCGATGGTTGTACCTCTTCGTTGGGCGAGTCGAGGAGCGACACGAGCGTCGGGATGACGCCATTGTTGAGGAGCACGGACGTATTGTCCGTGGCGCCGGCGGCAATGTTGGTGAGCGCCCAGAGCGCCTCCACTTGCAGAAGCGGGTGGTCCTTCAATTTCAGCCAGCTAATGAGGCGCGGGGTCCAGTTTTTCTCAAGCATCTACGACCGCGTCAAGCGTGCGCCATGGGCTACGTGGCGCATCCCACCTGCCGGATCAGGAGGTCGCGCTCGCTCGAAAGGAGGAGGCGCAGCTTCTTCGCCGCTTCCATCTGGACCGTCGAATCTTGGGACGAGAGCCCGGCGTCGATCTGCGCAATGTCGCCCTGGAAGTCCTTGTTGCCGGCCATCGCGGCCGAGTGGGCAGCCGAGAGCGCTTGGATCCCGCTGCTAGCGAGGTGGACCATCGAGCTCGCGCTCATCGAGTGGGCGAAGGCCGCGGGGTGGTGGTGGGGCGCCTGGCGCGCCTTGGACGGGGGGAGCAGCGAGGCCAGCGACGTCGAGGTAGACGCGGGGGATGGCATCGGTCTCGACGGGATGCTAGCGATCGAGCGGAGGAACGCGGACGGGTCGATGGACGCGGCAGGAGCGGCAGTCAGGGGATCGACTTCCGCCGACGCTGACCAGAACCTTGTACTGTTAGCCATCCCAAAACTTTATCCCGTCGAATAATAAGTTTTCCCGCAATTTCACCGGCTGAACAAACCTCTACAAATGCATACTCAAAAATCCATCGAAGAAAGCATCTCAAGCGACATCGCATTGGTGCTACCGCCGTACACGTCCCGTCTTGGGTAGGCTTGCGCCCACGACCTCGTCGTCTCCAATTCCACGAGGTTGCCTGCGCTCGAGTTCCGTCGTCGCACCATGTAAATATGTAAAATCCCTAAATTGTGGAAAATGGGCGTTTTGAGATCCATGGAATTGAGTTTCAATGAGGGCACCCGGCCGCATCGGTATCGAGTAGCTTGCAAGGGTGAGAGACGAGAGAAGGATACTCTAGACGCCATCGCGTTTTGCCACCATAGTATGGGACGGCAAGCATGCACAACACCGGGAAGCGCTCGCGGTTTAAGTACCACGTTTTCTGAAACTCAAAAAACGCAGCTCAAAACCAGCTGTCCGACCTGCAGCATTGCATATTCGAAATCTTTGTTATCCGGATCTACCGGATAACCGACAGACGCGCGCGATGACCGCCAGTGTTTAAAACCGTCCAAGATCGCACTGCCGCGTGGACAATGTCCTGTGGACTAAGTTCTCGGACAATCGGCCACTCAGATCTAGGACGGGCGTGGTGGTTGAGTAGACAAGTTGTCTATTGCCAAGTACGAGAACCTTGGGGACAGGACACGGCGACTCCGACGACGGCGCTCTGGCGTACAGACACCTCTCGCATCCTCGCTCCATCGCATCGCAACCTACCGGTACTCGTATGAACAACAACTCAACTTATTGACGCCGCCGAGAGCATGACGAGCGTGGCGCAGCCCCTCGTGCACGGGTTCCAGCAGTATTGCAACACAGCGCGGCGAGGACGAGCTTCGAGTCGGTGCGGCTATGGTTAGTCCTGCCCAAAGATATGTATACCAGTCGCATCATACCAGCGGGCGCATGCAAGAGTGCTCAGCATTAGTCGACGTACGTCTCGCACGAACGAGACCAAGGCGACACTTGCCGTGAGTCGGACACGTCTTCTGCTTGCTACAAGATATTCCACGGACGTCACTGGGCACCCTCAGTGCCCTGGTGCAGCCACGCCTCAAACGTGTGCGACACAAACTGCGCTGGCAACAACCCCATCGGATCAACAACCAAATGAATGCAACAAAGACAGCAACACGACCGCGATCCCAGCGTGGGTGACACCCGTGCGTCTCGAAGCTAGTTTCGACATCTTGTCATCCATCTTGGAGTCGACGATTTAGAGAACACCAACCTCAGTCCATTAACTTAAATGTCTAGTCCGATATGCGGTAGTGGATTATAGAGTACATCGGAACAAACGCGTTAGGCCTCCATGACAGCCACGTGCGTCTCGCGGCGCGCAATGCCAATCGCGAGCTTCTTTTTGAGCAATTTTCGGCGCGACACTTCGACCGCGATCGCGGCCAGGACGATCGCCCAAATGAGCCAGAGGTACGGAAACAACAGCGTTTGCTTGAGCCCGTCCCGGTCATTGGCGCAGAGCGGGTTGAGCGAGACGCCGTCCTCGAGCGTATTGCAGTGCGGCGCCCACTTGTCCTTGAGCATACCAAGCACGATGGGCGAGGGCACGTCGCCGAGGACGTGCGCGAGGAGCGTGTTGATACCGAGGGCGAGGCCGCGCCGGCGCTTGTCGACCGAGAGCAGAATGGCCACGACCGACGCCGGGACGCACCCAAAGAGAAACGCGAGCGCGATCGCAAGGATGCCGATCGACAAGATCTTATCCCACTCGAGCGCGATCCACGAGAGGACAAGGAACGCCGTGCCGGTCGCGAGCATTATACACAGCTGCCGCGTCGCCTTGTACATGCGAAACTCTTCGTTGTCCGGGTCCAGCGCACACGACCGGTCGAGGAAGAGGCCGCCGAGAAGCGTGCCGATCGTACCAGCGACGACGATGATGGCGCCAAACACCATGGCGGCCGAGCTCTCCTCAAAGAGGCCAAGGCCGATCAAGAGCGATGGACCAAACGCACCGAGGCCCGAGATGGAGAAGATGTACGCGGCCGACCCGAGGGCGACGAGCATAAAGAGCGGCGACATGAGAATCGAAAACACTTCCATGTGCAGAGCGACCTTCTTGACCTCGGGCTCTTCGTCCGTGACTTGAGCGACTAGTGAAAAGGTCGACTGCATGATGCATTCATGCGAGAGGTCGTTGGCGGCCAAGTCGGCGTCCGCGGTACCTTGGTGGAACTCGACCGTCGCGCGGTGCGGATCCTGGAGCTGCGGCGTCATGGTGTGGGCGCGCTGGCGAGCGACCAAGCCCGCGGGCACGTTGTACTGGTTGGGAATGCTAAAGATGCAGAGAAGCACGAGCGGTACCATGAGGATACCCTCAAAGTGAAAGGCCCACGGCCACCCGATTGTGGACGCAAAGAGTGCCGAATAAAAGTAGCCCGCCGCCGTGCCGACCGTGATGCCGCAGTAGAAGACGCCGAGCCAGAGCGTGCGCTTCGCCGGCGGCGCGTGGTCGTCAATGAAAGATGGCGCAATTGCTTGGAAGCTCGATTCGCCGACGCCACTGAGAATGCGCCCGACGAGGAGCACGTTGAGGTTGTTGAACGGCTCGGCGAGGCCGCAGAGCACCATGGCCACGCACCACGTGGCCATACCGGCAGCGATGAGCACGAACGGGCGATAGTAGATAACCCAGTACCCAAACGCAATGCTAAAGACCGAGTAGCCCGCAATGAACGCCGAGACGAGGAGACCCATGTACGTGTTGGCCTCGGCGGTGCCCTCCTTGTCGAGCGCCTTGTTGATGAAGCTCTGGAACGTGTTGGGCGACCCGGGGATGATGCCCCGGTCAATGTAGTTGAGCATGTTGATGGTGCAGAGGAGCACAAAGAGGCTCGAGACCTTGGTGAGGCGGACCATGCTGCTACAACCCCGAGCGTATTGCCAACTGCACCTTCTACCAGCGTGCCCGCGGCTGCTGCAAGGCCATTGGCTGACGCGAATGCATTCGAACTTCGATGCGTGCACATGATTGTAGGGCAAAGTGGGCGCTCGAAGGAAAAAACCGTAGATATTAACGTGAATACTTCCATTAAAATTATTAAAATGGATATTGTAATATTTCGATAATGTGAAAGATTACAGCGCGTGCCACGTCCAGGCGGTCGACGCAGCGCTCACGATGGCAACGCGGTTGGGATCCCTGACGCAGAGTACAGCGTTTGCAAGCACAAGCAAGACAGGCTCTGTCGCAGGAATAGGTCGAAGCGCGACCGCCGGATGCATGCCATAAGGCGCGAATAGTAATATGAATATGGATATTATCTGCCGCGAAATAATATTAGCGTCGACGCCAAATTTGTCCCGTCCCATCTGATATGGCAAGTCTCTGAAACTTGATGCGTGCCCGTTGATGTTGATGATGCACTGGAAGCTTAGGCGTGCGTCGCCGACTTGGCAGTCCCGGTAGCGGCACCACATACAAGCCTCGCCATCGAGCTCAACCAAGATCTGAGCCGACTCGAAGTCGTAGAGACGCGTCTGGCACTGAGAGCCATATTGCACTTCTTTCGAACCTGACGTGGGCATGGACCAAAGAGCCAGCGCCTCCTTGTTCGACGATCATTGGGGGCTTGCACATCTGTCTACTTCCGGTGGGGAGTTAAGGAGTCCTGGGCTTGCCAGCGCACGGCCGACGTGCTGCAACGCGCTGCTGGCGAAGAGAGCTGCAACAAAAACGTGCAGACTCTGCGGCGTTTAGTGCGCGGAGGAGCGCGATAGGACCAATCGAGATGCTACGCTCCTGACCCAACACCGCTGTAATGCCCTGCCAGCGTTCCTGCGATGCTGCTCGCCACGTTCCGAAGCGTGCGCCAGAACGAGATCGTACCAGAGCCCCTGCTAGAGCCTGCCTCCTGCGCCAGTTTGAGACTCTGCCGTGGCTTTGGCCACAAGCCGCCGACTTGGATAATAAACCACCCAGATTCCAAGCCGAGAGCAGGCAGCATAGCAGGGTTCTATTTGACAGCAGCGAGGCGACCGTGCAACTCTTGGCGTCGTCATATCCTCCCGTCCTGGTTCTGGGAACGCGTCTTGGGCCAACATATTAAATTTGACAGGTTTTACAGGTCAACCAATGGGATGGCGCGACGCATGGGAAAGATACTGGTATGCTGACCGAGATCGCGGTGCGGGTGGCCAAGGTCGACGACGCATCGTGCCTCAACGACGACAACGACGAGACCAAGCCGACGGGGCCGCGCGTGAAGCGGGTGCAGGTCACGCTGCTCTCGCCGCCAGTGCGCCTCACGCACATTTCGTTTCAAAACTACTATACCGCAAGTCTCCGCATCGACCAAGTGCTCTTCGGTGGTGCGAGTGGCCTGCTTCGAATCGCGCCGATATGAGCATCCTGTAGGCAAGACGACTTGCGTTGTCGCCAACCTGCCCTTGATGGCCAAGGCCCACTACGAAGACGACGCGCAGAACTGGCATGTGCTCAAGCACGACCACGTACGCGCCAATTCGGTTGCACGCACAATATAGCATCGTGTAGCTACCGGGCCTTGACGCAGCGCGCGCGACAGGCTTTGTGTTCTACCTCACACAGCCGTCGCCGCTCTGGGACAAGGTGTGCAGATGGGCTAGGATCATATTCGACGACGTTGAACGTAGTGGGAGCTCCAGCAGCTGCGGTTTTTCGAGACCACCGAGGCGCCGTCCGTCGTACCGCGCGCGCTGCAGGAGAAGGCGGCCGAGTTGACGGACGGCCAGCTCTTCCGCAAGTACACGATCAACACATCCGGGACGGTCTCGGCCGACGCCAAGCA